ACTAAAAATACCATTCGCATACTAGCCAAGTTATTAAAAACATCCGATTTGATTCACGAAATCTTCCCAGATGGCTTTTTCCCCGATGACTAAGGTAAGTATAATTCAAATAAATTTCACTAATAAATTCAAATTATACTAACTTTTTCTATAAATGTTTAATTTTCTCTTTTAGTCTTCTCACCACCATCATCTACAAAAAGAAAAAAGAAAAAACAAAAAGCAAACTTGTTAAATTAGAACATAAATCTAGTAAAACTCTTTTGCTAAAACTTATTTGATAAAACTATTTTGCTATACTAAGTTTTTCGCACTAAATAATGAAGTAAAATTCATACCCAATGTAGTAATTTTATTTATAAATAATTTCCCCAAAAAGCAGTAAAATTATTTACAATGAAAATTTATAGTTTTCTCAAATGTAGTAAAATTCAAAATTCAAGCAATAAATTTATAAATGAGAAAGCAGTACTAACTTTTTCAATATTTTCATTCATTCGCACAAGAATTCTATCTATACTCGCACAGCTTCCACAAAGAATTGTTTAAAATAATGCTTTTAGGTTTCAAGTTTTCAATAACAACAACTCAAACTAACGATAACAAGTTTCCAAATTTTCTTTAACCCGGTTGGAATGGAGTTATATACTACACCAAACTAACCAATGCAGCTTACTAAACACCACAAATCATAAAATAACAGCATGACTAAGAAAAGAAAACCAGCGGTACCCAAACCGGATTAACCCAGTTTAAAACTGGATAATTTATTCTTTTGAAGACTATTACAAAGTCTAAGAAAGAAATAATAAAACACAAAAAGGTCGTAAGACAAACCCAAACCAAAAACAATTTGATTTTTGAAAAAAGGACACAATCAAAAGTAACATAAAAAAAACCAGAAAAAACCAACATAAAACGTTATCACAAAACAGGACCCCTCAAAGAAACAGCACGAAATCATACTCCCATTCCTCAAGGGTGAGTAACTCTTCAAAATAACTGAACTAAAGTAAAACGCTTTTGTGAGAACAACTAACTAAGATCATAACTAAAAAACCAAACTAACAAAAATTTTAAAAAAAGTAAATCATAATATGCAGTACATAGATCATCCACAACAACAAAGACGAACATCCACAGGCTAGACGATCCCATCACACTCGACCAAAAGAATGGCTAAAACACAACCGACATGCCGTCCACAATCACGACTCAAAGGATTCAAAGTACGACTTGACTTCGCAGTAAAGGACTTCATTGAACCAGATCAATGACCATCTCGATGTTCAAGTATATGTGCAGATCCGAGTTACAAGGCATCCCTTCCAAACACGAATTTCTTGCCATTTTCAGACGAGGCTGAACACAAAACAGTTCTCCACTAATACAGACAAACTTGACATAGTAGACCATTTTGAAATCGGGTTGATTTCATTGGAGATCACAGTCGTTGTCGAACGACAAGATAAAAACTTCATGTCCATAATTCCAGCGTTCTGGAACGTTTTTCTTCAAAGAGAAACCGGACAAGAAAAATGATATTTGCCAAATACCAACGTTCATCAACCATCCTTCAATTGCAGAAGAAAGAGATAAAACTCAAAAACTCGGTAAACCCCGGATGGGTGGAACTTGATCTAATTTACATTTTATTATTTCATATAAATTAGATATTTTACCACTGTAAAATATTTAATAGTAACCAATCATAATCCATCTAACTAACAACCCACTTATTTGTAAGTGCTGAAATTACTTATAATTTCAGCACCAGAGAGATTTGAATTTAACTTAGAAATTAGTTGCCTCTCCTCGAGAACTTCGGCAGCCGCAATAAAAACAGTATACTCTAGATCAATTGAGCCTAGCAGAGACTAGTTAAACACCCTGAGACTAGTAGATATAAAAGTAAGATAAGGATCGGTATTAGACTAAGAAGTTGCACGAATTTATCCGGCCGAAAATAAGATAGCTTGACGAGCAGACGGTGTACCCTATCCAAAATTACTCTATGAGTTATACACCTCATATATAACTCAATACACTAAATTTTAGTCCAAGTTGTGAACTTAGACAAGAAATGACCACAGTTGAAGTTATGAACTATTTTCCACCAGTTTAAAACTAGCATTTATAACCAATTATGTTCTTGATAAAAGTATCTCTAAAAATATTTACATTATGAGGCCAAACTGTGCATTTTGTGCATTGTAGGCCGATTACGCGACAAGATTGCTCCCTTGTTCTTTTTTTTCTTTCCTTCTCTTTGATCGTTCCGACAAAATTTTACCATGTTTAAAGACTTGTGTTTGGAATCCAGGAACATACAAACACAAAATTGTGCTCCTATTCAGTGCACAGTGTGGCCTCGTAATGTAGAGATATAATAAAACCACTAATAAAAAATTTGATAACACAATCGCTCGCGCACTAACAAACACCAAAGCTTACGAGCCGTTTTTCAATAAACTTAACTAGTTTGAACAAACATTTCACTTCCTTACACCAAAATGAAGAGACATTCACTACTAAGACAAAACTAACCCACACAAACACAATTAAGAAATTCATACAAAAACATAATATAACCAACTCACTAGCCCGTAACCCACAGCATCGTTTTTTGTTTATTAAATCAAACTACACATCACCATATTTCTTAAATTTTACCTATTGCATTAAATCTACTAATTTACATGGCTTCCTCCGTAATTATGTTTTCATCAGACAGATGTATATGTTTTGCCCACTGCCTAAGACTTTACCAATCGACAAAGCCCTCCCCATAATAATTCTCCACGAATATATACAGCCCAATGAAACCACCCTAATCGAACACATTCACAATAATAAATTTACCATAAACTATATAAACTAATTCAGAACATAAATCATGAGCTTTAAACACTTACCGAAGAATAAACATAATCGGAGCGCTTGAATTTCTTTGGCCTCTGCTTCGCACTAAAAACGTAATCTGCATGCTTGCAAAGCCTCCAGTAACATCGGACACAATCAAGACTAAAATCCCCCGTGGAATTTTTCCCGTTACTGAAAACCCGTAAGCATGAATTTTATTATCAACTCTTATATATAAAACATGAAACTCACCATTTTTACACGTGTTTTTTTTCAATTCTTTTTTAGATTTCACCAGTCACTCAATAAAAGAATAAAACCCAAAAAAAGCACAGACTTTCCTTTAACCCGCTTGCAAGGAATTATGAGTGAGCTTAAAGTAACCAACGCAGCATACTAATAACACAAAACCAACCGCATGTATAAAAAAGTCTGACTGTACTCAGACCAGTTTAAACCCAGATTAAAACTGGACAAATTATTCTTTTGAAACCCACTTTCAGTTTTTATTGAAATCACTTAAAACACCAAAAAATCAAAACAAAAAACAAAATATAACAATCTGTTTTTGATAAAAGGACACAACCAAGAACAAAAAAAGAAAAAACACCTGATATAAAAGAACAAAAATTTGAACTCAAAAAGAGACTCTGCTCAAAGAGACGGTAAATTCATACTCTATCAACTGGCTTCGCCACCCAATTGGATGTCCTGAGCATGCTCTATAGCCGACTTAACTCACCGCGCTATAACAACCATTAAATCACGCACTCAGTTTTTGATGAGAGTTAATCTAGGGTGTTCGACTCCTTAAAATAATCAAAACTATATAAAAATGATTTCGCGAAAACAACTAATGAATACCATAACTAAAACTCATCTCACTTACAATATAAAGATTAATTTTGCAATGTAAAAACATTTCTTAGAGCCAACGGAACGATCAGCAAAGGAAGATGAAAATTCGATTACTCACCAACTCTGGAATGGCAAATCTATTAGGTTTGTTGCCGTAGTCACTACCCTCAATGGATTTAAAGTATGGACCCAACTTCGCAGCATAGGAAAACCATTGAAACATACTAATGGCCAACTCGATGTTGACCTCAAATACAGATCCTAGTCACTTGGCACTTCACACAGAAAGTTCAAACTTCATCTTGCATGTAGTCTCGCTCTAGCTTAACGAAATCAACACATCATTGCATCAATATGAAATCTTGACACGATCACTTAAGGTGATCTAGGATAAAAGCGAGACCCACTTCTGGAACAAGAACAACTGTTATTCTACTCTCTACAAAAACAACTGTCACTGCTCCGAAAGAAAACTACTCCAAAAAACCAAGAAATCCCTCCATCCTTCACTAACTAAACATTTTGAAAAATAAAAACTCTCTAAAACTCGGATTGGTGGAACCAGTTTAAAACTAGTGTTTATAACCAATTTTATTCTTGATAAAGCTATCACTCTAAAATTTAAAGAGATATAATAGAACGACTGATAAGAAGTTTGATAACAGAATCGCTCGCACACTAACAAACACCAAAGCTTACCAGCCCTTTTTCAATATATTTAACCACTTTGCACTAATAATTCAATTCCTAACACCAAGCAAAAGACATTCACTGCTCACACGAAACCATGCCAAAGACAAAACTAACCCACACAATCACATTTTTTAAACTTGTACAAAAAAAACATTATATAACCATCTCTTTAAAATACTATTAACTAACCAATCATATTTCATAACTAACACTGACATTATTTGTAGTGCTGAAACTACTTGTAGTTTCAGCACCAAAAGAATCTGATTGTAACTTAGAAGACAGTTGTTCTCCTTTGGAACAATTTCAATATATCTAACCCGCGAAGACCAGTAAACACTAGATATATTGAGACAAGGAGATATAAGAGTAAGATTAAGATTGGTATTAGACCAAGATGTTGCACAAACCTATCCGGTCGAAAATAAGATAGCGTGACGAACAGACTTACCTTATCTGAAATTACTCTATGAGTGACCACTCCAAGTAAAAACTCAATTTTCTAGAGTGCTTCAGTGAATTGAGATCAGTTTTGGGTCAAGACAACTTCAAACAAAAGGGTTGTGATAACTTTGCTTTTTTGTTAGAAGTGGCGGTGAGGAGCAGCGAAATGTCAAGTGGACCTCAGAGTAGTAGTCTTGTTGAAGACATCAACGGGAACACGTTCAAGAAAGTAATAATTGTGGGCAAGACAGGGACAGGCAAAAGTAGCCTGTGTAATGTGGTGGCAGGCAAAGCCTACGATGCAGATCTGTTCCCTGTTTCCGCAGAGGCGCAAGGGTGTACCGACCTAACCACCTTTGGCAACGTCTTTTATAACGGAAATAGGGAGACGCCCGTATCCCTAATTGACACAGTGGGGTTTGACGACCCCGAAAGGGATGCGAACGCCAGGCTCATCTCCAACCTCGTGATCAAACTAAGAACCAAATGCGATTATGTCAACCTATTCGTTATAACTGTGAATGAACAAGATCCTCGGCTAGATGGGAGCCTTGTCGGAACAATTCGTGCTTTTTAAGGCATGTTTGGTGCGAAGTTTTGGTCGCAAGCTGTGATAATTTTAACTCGGCTACCAATGGATTCACGAAGTATCGAATCACGAAAAGTAATAACCCAACAAACCGACGCTCAGTTGGCGGCTAAAAACATAAAATTCGTGCAACAGAAGTTTCCCAGAGGGAAGGGACTCAAAAACCACATACTAGACTCGTGCAGAGACAAGAGTTATCGGGATGAGGAGGAGGCCTTCCAGAAGGGAAAGCAAGAACTGTGGAAGATGGTCAAAATGGCGCCCCCACTGGACACAGAAGATGTGAATAAGGTGAAGACAGAGTCGATGAAACTGAAACAGGAAATAGAAGAAAAGAAAAAGTAGCTGGCAGAAGTGGAGCAGCAGAGAAGAGAGGAAGAAGAACGCAGGTGAAACACATGTTTCTTCTTTAAGAAAAAAAGTTTGATTTTGAAAACCTCTGAATACTAACAAAAGGACCAAGGGTCAAATACCTGATTTTGAGGTCAGTCTTTTTTGACAGTTCTATAATAAAGAATGTTTTGCAATCACTTTTCTATGGGTTATTCAAAGCAATTTACTTCCCTCAATTCAATTCGGATTGATTTAGTTCGCCGATTACGCTTTAAAGGCTCTAGGGCTAATATATGCCATGCCACGCACTTACTGACTTAGAACATAATAACCTGACGTCTCTCAATTTGAAAGCAATAATCAGCTCAAATTTTTGTATATAATTGCCCTCTGTTGGCAAGCTCTAAACTACGGATCTTACTATTAATTTGCTCAAAACAGCATCTTTTGAAATTTTGCTCTTCATAATCAAAAATTGATGAAATGTGATGCCCTGGAAATCAATTTCTACCAAAATGTGTAAGAACACTTGGTAAAAAACTTTGTAAAGGACAAATTTTGTCTGGATAAAAAATGACCCAAACAAGAGGATTGCGCTTTATTGAGTTTTGACTGTAGTTTCAACAAGTAGTCTAGATTTTCTACCTTTGATTTTACAGGATACAAATAAAATTTTCTGTCTTTTTGCGCTGTTATTTCCACGAGGAAAACTGTTTCAGAGAACAGGAGCTGAGTGAGATGCAAAGACAATTCTCGCAGAAGATGGAATCTTTTGAGCGAAAAACTGAAGAAGATCGTGAGAGAATCGAGAAGAAACACATTGCGGAGATGGAAACTTTGAAGCGAAAAACTGAAGAAGATCGTGAGAGAATCGAGAAGAAACACGTTGCGGAGCTGGCGAAACTGACCGAGGAAAGAGAGGAGGATCGGGAAATGTTAGAGGCGAAAGTTGAGAAGCTGAAACAAGGTATTTTCAATGAACAGCTGAAGAACAAAGCAGAACTTGACAAGTTGCAAAAACAGTTCGAAGACCAGCAAAAGGAGGAGGAACAGAACAAAAAAATGTTGATAACTGCAGGAAACAATCATTCCAAGTTGGCGGATCAAATTGAGCAGCTGAATTTGCGGCAGCAAAAGATGCAAGAGCAGTTCAGACGAGAGAGGGTCGAGCAAGAGGAGAAGCTGAATGCAAAGCAGAAGCAGATTGAGAAGCAGGAGCGGGAAGCGGAGGAGAGGTTTGAGAGACAGAAGGCGGAGGCGGAGGAGAAGTTGAGACAGCAGCAGAGTGTGGCAGCTCTGGCAGAGCAGAGACAGAGAGAGGAACTGGTCAACCAAGGTAAACAGATGTGTCATTAGCTTAATTCATTCGTCATGCTGTTCTTCTTTTCAATTAGATTACAAACAACGTGAGCTCATCTAAATGTGGCATGAAAGTCATCAAGTCAATTCTGTCATCGACACAGATCCATGCTGATAAGGTTATTCGTGAATCATATGCTCTCCATTATCAGCTGTAGTTTTCATTTTATTTCAATTGTTGTCATGAGAATGAAGTTATAGGATGAACATTGCATAAGTAAAAAAGAACAGCTTTGAAGAGAACAATTTGTAAATCAAGAAAAAATAAGCAAATTAATCGATTGCGAGTTATGTGCTATTGACTGTACTCATAGAGTAATTTCAGATAAGGGACACCGTCTGCTCGTCACGCTATCTTATTTTCGGCCGGATAGATTCGTGCAACTTGTTAATCTAATACCGATCTTACTCTTACTCTTATATCTCCTAGTCTCAATAGATCTAGTGTATACTGATGTATGCAAGTTAGTTTAATCCAAGTTGCTCTGATGCTGAAACTAAAAGTAGTTTCAGCACTTACAAATAGGGGGAAATGTTAGGTATGGCATATGATTGGTTAATTAGGAAGATTTTTTAAAATTAGAGAATTATATTTATAACCAATTATGAGTTTTAGTTTAGAACTGGTTCCACCCATCCGGGGTTTAGAGTGTTTTAAGTTTTTAGTTGTTTGATGTAGTGAAGGACGGGTGATGTAGGTTCTTTTTGAAGTTGCGAGCATTGGCTTCTTGAGGGGAGAAGAAAATTGGCTGTTGGTGTTTGACGTGCGCAGATTGTCAAGTTCGTATCTCTAGACAAAGGATTTAAAGTATGGACCTAACTTCGCAACATAGGAAAACCATTGAAACAGACTAATGGTCAACTCGATGTTGACCTCAAATACAGATTCTAGTCACTTGGCACTTCACACAGAAAATTCAAACTTCATCTTGCATGTAGTCTCGCTCTAGCTTAACGAAATCAACACATCATTGCATCAATATGAAATCTTGACACGATCACTTAAGATGATCTAGGATAAAAGCGAGACCCACTTCTGGAACAAGAACAACTGTTATTCTACTCGCTACGATATTAACTACAACTCTCATTCATTCACGCAGTCACTGCTTCAATAGAAAACTACTCCAAAATACCAAGAAATCCCTCCATCCTTCACTAAATAAACAATTTGAAAAATAAAAACACTCTAAGACCCGGATTGGTGGAACCAGTTTGAAACTAGTGTTTATAACCAATTTTATTCTTGATAAAGCTATCACTTTAAAGTTTGAAGAAATATAATAAAACCACTGATAAGAATTTTGATAACAGAATCGCTCGCACACAAACAAACACCAAAGCTTACGAGCCGTTTTTCAATACAATTAACCTTTTTGCACTAACATTTCAATTCCTAACACCAAGCAAAAAGACATTCACTGCTCACACGAAATCATGCCAAAGACAAAACCAACCCAAACAAATACATTTTATAAATTTATTTCAAAAAAACATTATATAACCATCTCTTTAAAATACTATTAACTAACCAATCATATTCCATAACTAACACTGACATTATTTGTAGTGCTGAAACTACTTGTAGTTTCAGCACCAGAACAATCTGAATATAACTTAGAAGACAGTTGTTCTCCTATGGAACAAGTTCAATATATCTAACCCGCGAAGACCAGTATACACTAGATATATTGAGACAAGGAGAAATATGAGTAAGATTAAGATTGGTATTAGACTAAGATGTTGCACAAACCTATCTGGTCGAAATTAAGATAGCGTGACGAACAGACGTACCTTATCTGAAATTTTTCTATGAGTGACCACTCCAAGTAAAAACTCAATTTTCTAAAGTGCCTCAGTGAATTGCGATCAGTTTAGGTCAAGACAACTTCAAACCGAAGGGTTGTGATAACTTTGCTTTTTTGTTAGAAGTGGCGGCGAGTAGCAGCGAAATGTCAAGAGGACCTCAGAGTAGTAGTCTTGTCGAAGACATCAACGGGAACACTTTCAAGAAAGTGCTAGTTGTGGGCAAGACAGGGACAGGCAAAAGTAGCCTGTGTAATGTAGTGGCAGGCAAAGCCCACGATGCAGATCTGTTCCCTGTTTCCGCAGAGGCACAAGGGTGTACCGACACAACCACCTTTGGCAACGTCTTTTATAACGGAAATAGGGAGACGCCCGTATCCCTAATTGACACAGTGGGGTTCGACGACCCCGAAAGGGATGCGGACGCCAGCATCATCTCTGACCTTGTGATCAAACTAAAAACCAAATGCGATTATGTCAACCTATTTGTTATAGCTGTGAATGGACAAGATCCTCGGCTAGATGGGAGCCTTGTCGGAACGATTCGTGTTTTTGAAGGCATGTTTGGTGCGAAGTTTTGGTCGCAAGCTGTGATAGTTTTTACTCGGCTAAAAATGGATTCACGAAGTATCGAATCACGAAAACGAATAACCAAACAAACCGACGCTCAGTTGGCGGCCAAATACATAAGGTCCGTGCAACAGAAGTTTCCCAGAGGGAAGGGACTCAAATACCATATACTAGACTCGTGCAGAGACAAGAGTAATCGGGAGGAGGAGGAGGCCTTCCAGAAGGGAATGCAAGAACTGTGGAAGATGGTCGAAAGGGCGCCCCCACTGGACACAGTAGATGTGAATAAAGTGAAGACAGAGTGGATGAAACTGAAACTGGAAATAGAAGAGAAGGAAAAGCGGCTGGCAGAAGTGGAGCAGCAGAGAAGAGAGGAAGAAGAACGCAGGTGAAACACATATTTCTTCTTTAAAAAATAAAGTTTGATTTTGAATACTTCTAAAAACTAACAAAAGGACCGAGGGTCAAATACCTGAGTTTGAGGTCAGTCTTTTTTGACAGTTTTATAATAAAGAATGTTTTGCAATCACTTTTTCCATGTGTTATTCAGAGCAACTTACTTCCCTCAATTCAATTCGGATTGATTTAGTTTGCCGATTACGCTTTAAAGGCTCTAGGGCTAATATACGCCATGCCACGCACTTACTAACTTATAACATAATAACTTGACGTCTCACAATTTGAAGGCAATAACCAGCTCAAACTTTGTATATAGTTGCCCTCTGTTGGCAAGCTCGAAACTACGGATCTTACTATTCATTTGATAAAAACAGCATCTTTTGAAATTCTGCTCTTCATAATCAAAAATTGATGAAATGTGATGCCCTGGAAATCAATTTCTACCAAAATGTGTAAGAACACTTGGTAAAAAACTTTGTAAAGGACAAATTTTGTCTGGATAAAAATGACCCAAACACGAAGAAAAGAAAAATTTTCTACCTTTGATTTTACAGGATACAAATAAGTTTTTCTGTCTTTGTGCGCTGTATTTTCCACGAGGAAAACTGTTTCAGACAACAGGAGCTGAGTGAGATGCAAAGACAATTCTCGCAGCAGATGGAAACTTTGAAGCGAAAAACTGAACAAGATCGTAAGAGAATCGAGAAGAAACACGTTGCGGAGATGGAAACTTTGAAGCGAAAAACTGAAGAAGATCGTAAGAGAATCGAGAAGAAACACGTTGCGGAGCTGGCGAAACTGACCGAGGAAGGAGAGAAGGCTCGGGAAATGTTAGAGGCGAAAGTTGAGAAGCTGAAACAAGACATGTTCAATGAGCAGCTGAAGAACAAGGCAGAACTTGACAAGTTGCAAAAACAGTTCGAAGACCAGCAAAAAGAGCTGGTAACTGAACGAAAGAATCATTCCGAGTTGGCGGATCAAATTGAGCGGCTGAATTTGCAGCAGCAAAAGATGCAAGAGCAGTTCAGACGAGAGAGGGTCGAGCGAGAGGAGAACCTGAGTGCAAAGCAGAAGCAGATTGAGAAGCAGAAGCGGGAAGCGGAGGAGAGGTTTGAGAGACAGAAGGCGGAAGCGGAGGAGAAGTTGAGACAGGAGCAGAGAGTGGCAGCTCTGGCAGAGCAGAGACAGAGAGAGGAACTGGTCAACCAAGGTAAACAGATGTGTCATTAGCTTAATTCATTCGTCATGCTGTTCGTCTTTTCAATTAGGTTACAGACAAAGTGAGCTCATCTAAATGTGGCATGAATGTCATCAAGTCAATTCTGTCATCGACACAGATCCATGCTGATAATGTTATTCGTGAATCATATGCTCTCCATTATCAGCTGTAGTTTTCATTTTATTTCAATTGTTGTCATGAGAATGAAGTTATAGGATGAACATTGCATAAGTAAAAAAGAACAGCTTTGAAGAGAACAATTTGTAAATCAAGAAAAAATAAGCAAATTAATCGATTGCGAGTTATGTGCTATTGACTGTACTCATAGAGTAATTTCAGATAAGGGACACCGTCTGCTCGTCACGCTATCTTATTTTCGGCCGGATAGATTCGTGCAACTTGTTAGTCTAATACCGATCTTACTCTTACTCTTATATCTCCTAGTCTCAATAGATCTAGTGTTTACTGATGTATGCAAGTTAGTTTAATCCAAGTTGCTCTGGTGCTGAAACTAAAATTAGTTTCAGCACTTACAAATAGGGGCAAATGTTAGGTATGGAATATTATTGGTTAATTAGGAAGATTTTTTGAAATTAGAGAATTATATTAATAACAAATTATAAATTTTCGGTTAGAACTGATTCCACCCATCCGGGGTTTAGAGAGTTTTCAGTTTTCAGTTGTTTGATGTAGTGAAGGACGGGTGATGTAGGTTTTTTTTGAAGTTGCGAGCATTGGCTTTTTGGGGGAAGAAGAAGTGTGGCTGTAGGTGTTTGACGTGTGCAGATTGTCATGTTCGTATCTCTAGATGGGTCTCGTTGATCGTGGGGGGTCTCGAAGATGGGTTTCATTGGTTGATTGTGTCAAGACTTCTGATCGATGCCATGATGTATCGATTTCGTTAAGTTTGGAGCAAGACTGCGTGCAGGGTGAAATTTGACTTTTCCGTGTGAAGTGCCAATTGACTAGGATCTGTACGTGTAGTCAACAACGAGATGGTCATTGGTCTGGTTCAATGGTTTTTTTTGCTGCGATGTTTGGAACAAACTTTAAATCCTTTGAGGGCCGTGACTTTAGGCAGCAAATCAGTGGATTTTCCATTCCGAAGTTGGAATGTGATTGGATTGTCTTCCACTTTGCTTCTCTTCTCTTGGGCTTTACGAAATCTGTACATACTGCATTAATCGTTTACATATATAATTTTCTTTGTTAAGTTTAGTTTTAGTTAAGATTTGTTATTAATAGTTATCGCAAAAGCGTTTTTATAGTAGTTTGGTTACTTTTAAGGACTCGCTCACCCTAGAGCAACTCTTGGCAAAAAGAGAGTGTGGGTCACAAAGCGTGATGTAGTGCGGTGCGTAAGACCGGCTATGGATCATGCTCAGGAGGTCACTCTGGTTGTAGGGTATAATTTTGAGGTTCTTTTTGCAGAGTCTCTTTTTATGTTCAACCTTTTGTTTCGTTTTCATTACTTGTTTTTCTCTTCTTGTTCTGGTTGTGTCCTTTTCTCAAAAATCTTATCTTTTGGTTTGGTTTTGTATTTGGACTTTTTGGTTTTTCCTTTTTTTCCTTCGATTGTGGTAAGACTGGAAAGTGGTCTCCAAAAGAATAATTTTGTCCAGTTTTAATCTGGTTTTAATCTAATTTGAGTACCGTGGGCTTTTTGTTCTTAGTCAAGCTATTAGTTTGTGGTTGTGTGATGTTAGTAAGCTGCGCTGGTTTTGTAGTTTTCTATATAATTCCTTCCAACTGTTTTAAAGGAAAGTGTGAAATGTGTGAAAACTGGTTAGAGTTGTTAAAAATGAAAGTTAAAACTTAATATATATTATTTAAATAATTCTTCGACGGCGAGCTGTGCGATTGTGGAAAGAGTTTATGGGCGAGTGAATGATTCAAATCTTATAAAAGGAGCATCTTGTAAAAAGGTTAGTAAATTTCTGAATTTATCTGCAATTTTGTTTCAAATTACCGCGTTGAAATGTTAATTTTACTTCTTCTGGGGAATTTTAATTTTCAAATTTACTGCTTGGTGAAAAAACAAAACGTTTGCATTTGGGATTATTTATTAGTTTATGTTTTTTGGGGCTAAATTTTACTGCTTTTCATTTATACTGCTTTTGTTTAGAATTTTTAAGAAAATAGTTTTCAATTTGCTGTTGTCTGTTTTAGATGAATGTGTGATGAAGTCTAAAAAAGAAAGTGGAACATTTATAAAGAATGGTTTGTTATGTTTCGAATTTATTAGTGTAAGATACATAATAATACTTACTTAATCATCAGCAAAAAATCCAATTTGGTTAATTTCATGAATGACGTTTGATGTTGTTCAAAGCTTAGCAAGTAAGCGGGTGATACATTTAGTTTTCAGTAGTGGCCCAAGCAATTCAAAAGCTTTGATGATCTTTTGCTCTTCACTACTTGGTGAGAATTCATGCGGTGTAATTTGGATTAGATTATAAAGCTTATGATTATATTTAATGTAATGAATGTATTCTAGGATTGGAATTTCAACGGGCTCTATATTCTCGTGAGGGACAATTAGTGGACAGAGTTTATCAACAATAAAAGTTCTGGCTAGTGGGCAGAATACATACATTTGTCGGATAGGGTCGTAGTTTCTAAGGATCCCTTGCATGTTAGTGTCTTTTATACAGTATGTGAAGTTAAGAGGAATGGTGAAATTAAATTGGAGTTTATAAATTGAAATCGATGGTGTGGGTTTCGTGATGGTGTATTAGTTGTGTAATGGTGTTGTATGAATATAAAGTAAGTGTATGTGTGAATTTGTTTCGTGCGTTACATAATTTGATGTGAGCAGTGTAAGTCACCTTCTTTGGGTGGTACGAAATAAAAGTTTAATGAGAAATTGTTAAATTAACTGAAATAAGATTCGTAGGGTTTTCTGACGCGAAGTCCTGTGGATATAATGTGATCATATTTTTAATTCATGCAGCTGATAGTAAATACATATGGAGATTTGATGAAAAAAGTTTCAGTCAGCTTGGGGTTAGCGTTACTATCGTCATTTGAAAAGATATCTTCATTGGGTCGTGCAATGGCATGATCATGGTGGTTAATAGAAAACCTATTAGCTTTTTGTTCAGTGAATCCAGTTATGCTTTGGTTTAGTCCGAAGGTTGTGAACTGTTTTTCGTGAAGTTCTATAGTTAGGTGATATAGTCTAGTTTGACATAATTCCTTGTCGTCTGGATTATTAATTAGTGGGAGTGATGATGGGTTACTGAATGGAAAATCTATTAGCTTTTCGTGCAGTGGATCTAGTTAGTGTTTGGTTTAGTCCAATGGTTGTGAACTGTTTTCCGTGAAGTGCTGTAGTTAGGTGATATAGTCTAGATTGACATAATTGCTTGTCGTCTGGACTATTTAATAGTGAGAGTGATAATGGTTACTGAAATCCTTGTATGAGATCCATGAAAATGTGGGAAATAATGCATTTTCATTAGTGTAATTTGGTTGTTCGTTGTTAGTATTTGCGTGATATTAAGTATATTGTAAAAAGAATGGCTAGCACACTTGGAGAAATGCTTTTTGTTGTTATGAAGTGGTTGAATTGTAAAAGTTTGGGCTGGTCGAGGGTTAGATGGGAGTGGGGTATTGGGGAGTTTTCGTTCAAATACTCGGTGGGCTCTGGTTTCTCCAGTAGTGGATGGGGGCTGGAGGATTCTGACAATGCCATGGTTTTTGAGAGATGACAATTGGTTAGTGTGTTAGGGTGTTGTAGCTGTTGTTGAAGGCTTATGAAGTTATCTAATTCATTCGTTTTCGAGCTCAGTATCAACGGGCTAGAGTGGTTTTGTGGGTCGCTGGTCATTGGAGAGTAGATTGGGGTTGCATCAGTGTAGGAGGTTGAGGCTGAGGAAGGTTCATGGGGAATTTGAGTATGGAGGGGTTGAAAGGGCGGCTGAGAAAAACGGATAGGCTAGGTTCGGAGTCTGGAAATTGATCTGGTGTTTCAATATCAGAATTGTTAAATTGTGAAATCGTGTGAAAAACTGTATTCGTTGAAGTGTTGTCTGAATCCACTGTTGGTGAAATATTAGTATATGATGATTCAGGGTGGGGATTGAAATCAAAAAGTGGTGAGATCTGGGAGTGACGTTGAGGTTGGATGGGTATGAAAGGGAACGGTTGAGGGATCTAATCTGGCGTCTCATCGTGGGCTTAAAAGATGGTTGTTCTGAGAACGGAAATTAGTGGTATGTGGCTGTTCTATAATCTGTTCATATGTCTCGTCTACATTTGGTTGTTGTGCTTCAATAAGGGTAACTGGACTTTGTGGATATCTATGACTTGTAGAGATGTGCTCTGTTAGGGATATGTTCCTGTAGATTCGTGGTGTTAAAGATAATTGATGGTTGTTTTCTAATGTATGTAATTGTGGTACAGTAGTTGTCGTGTTTCTAGTGTCTTGAGAATTATCATATGTCTTAGGTGTGGTTGATAGTTTTTTTTTTGTATTTAGTTATTTGAGCGTCTAAAAGTATTTTGTTAATTGAGGTTGAAAATATTCCGAAAAATCCTGCGAAACTCCTACGATCGCTTGTTTGTTTACTTGTGTGGGGATTGCGCATGTATTACAAATTCTTTTCAATAAAGAATAGCAAAAACCAAAAAAATTTAACGTTGCATATAATATAGTCAGTCTTTCTATGATGTAAGAGGGCCATCCTAGAAAGGCGAGTAGTTCATTTTTTAAAATTACAAATTTAAAGATATTGATGGGTGATATATCTTGTGGACGGTATTTTTCATCGTTTAAATAAATATCTCTTTTTCACCGTTTAAATGTTCAATATCTTTTGAGTATCCACTGTAGTCTTGTGTGTAGATGTCTAAAACTCCTGCGGTTTCTGCAAGTTTTCTTAATTATTGGTCAATGGATTGTCTTTTGTATTGTGTCCATCTTTGTGAGGAGTTCTACAAATTGTTGTATGCGGAAGTGATGTTGTATATCTGATCTAAAGTATTAA